AATGCAATCACACGTTTGACCTGGTTTTTTTTTTATTCTGGTATTTACCGAATCAAACGTTTTGTTAACCTTGCCCGACTCTTATCAGGTAGTAACATTTGAATTCGCGACAGTCAGTGAATGCCGATATGTAGTGCTTCCTATGAAAAATGATGTAAGAATTATACTGAAATCGATTAGTTTTTTTTTATTATGAATTTATTTAAATGGCGCTATTTTAATCTGATTCCAATTAGATGGAGTGTGGGTATGTAGGAGCAGCAGTCTCTTCATTCAACACCACACCTACACCCTCACCCCATTACTTATATTAGCGACTTATGACAAAACTTGTTTGTTGAATAAGCAATTTCAGAACGACAAATTTGCTTCTGTATTAATTAACAAATTCGTTGAAATAGTTTTAGATTTAAAGGGAAGAATTACACAATATAAATAAATAGGTGATGCGTTAGATATATTGTTGTATTTGTACGATTTTTATTCTGATAATACTAAAAAGTTAATTGATGGATGTTTAGAAAACTTCGCGATGCACCATTGAAGTATATAAATTAGAAAGAAATACATCAAATCTTTAAGATAGCCAACATTGTAGCATTCATCTTGAGTTCTTATTATATTTTAACGTATAAACATATAAAGATGATTAATGAAAAGAAGTTTCACAAATCCTCAAGTTGAGAATACTAATAGAGAACAATTCTAAGTTGAACAGTTTGATACCATTCGGTATGTGCATAAAAACAATGATAACTCTTTTTAACTTGAGTTCAAAAATTGAAAACATTATCAATACCAATTTAAGAATGTTAGATGTTTTTGTTAAAAGTTCAAATGGATCATCGATAAAAGATACAAGTATGAATCTGTACGTTAAAGATTATAATTCTTTTATACCGTTGAAAGGTCGTTTATTCAAAAATGGTCATCCTTTGTCAGGATTACCTAGCCAAATTCTTAATCATTCACATTATAAACAATGTTTTTGAAACATAAAGTTTTCTCCTAAACGTAACTGATAGAAATGTTTTCAGATTGACATTGTGTTCTTACAAAGCGAAAAATACAGAATCTGTAACCATTCGACTTAGTTTAGAGTGCATGTTCTGCTCTTTGATGAATGACAACAGTTTCATAATCAATTGAGTCGTTATTTTGTTGATAGAGTTGGAGAGATCAGTTTCCATCTTCTATTCCGCATCGTCACTAATCGTGATGTTATAGCTTTATCATAATGATAAAATTATAATAGAGCAGTAAAAAAATCTCAGCGTCGAATATTGATTTCGGAGCTGCCAAAGCTTACTGTAATACGATGGCCGACAGATAAAGCATGCCAAATTTTCTTTATCCAATCTAATTTAATCAAGTTCATGCCATTATGATTTAGTGAACTGATATTTGCTTTTCAATAGCTGCGCAGTACAAGTTTCCAAACAGAGTCAAGAGACAAACAAAAGATCAATATTTCAAGTCTTCGTTTTTCCTGTGACGATGCGCAGTGACGAAAAATTTGGCATATCTGCGAATATTTTGCTGAACAGTATATAGCCACACATCCAAATGCATCATTTTGTACAAACTTCATGTTGCATAGCTCTTCTCTGTTTTAATAATCGAAACATCAACTTTTTTTTTGTCAATGAGATTCATCCACAAAAAAAGCAGTCCTACATATCCTAGAAAAAGTCATGGTCTACCTCACAAAGGACGATCTAAAAAATCGGTTTATCTATGTTGGATAATTAAATGCGCAAGTGCATTGTGGATGTGGGTGCGAATGTCCTCTTCTCAGCCCACATTCCATACCCACATCCTTTTTTAATAGATAATCGATCATTGTTTATAGACGAGTTCATTAAAAACTACGAATGTTTTTTTTCTTTATTGTCAGGTAATATGATAAATATAATAACAAGTCTGACTCAGATTCAATTACGTCGACCAGATAATTCTATCTATTCACTTGAAACAGGTCTTACAAAAAAAAAATTTATATATGTGGAAAATAGTTCAACCACATGTTAGTGCATGGCGTTTAATAACATACAAGTTATCAAATGAATTTGATCATAATATTCAAATTCAAGGTAAAACAAATATTTTTTGTTCATCAACTTTACAAAAACAAATGGAAGAAAATACAGATACAAGTGATTATACACAATTAACAACAGAACCTATTATTAATTCTGAATTAATTATATTAACGACATGTGAAAATGTTAACTATACAAGTGTTAATATATTTCTAATCGACCAATCAGGTCAAATCATAAATAGTTATTCCCAGACACAATCAGACGAATCTGACACAGTAACGAAGATTCGTGTTCCTCAGCAAGCATTTCGAATCGAAGCAATTTTAACATTATCTAATGGAAATAAAATTCAACGTATGGAAAAACATCTTATTTCACCAATGAAATATTCAATTGAACTAACAAACCAGCCATATACATTATCTATTGGTCAAACAATTGAAATGAATTATACAATTAAAAGTTTCACAACTGGAATAGTTAATCTACGTTTACAAATCATTGATACATTAAAATTAATCAGTAATGATGTTCTAGAAAAAAATTTAACATTTTTTAATGAAACATCTGAAATGACTACATTTACATTATCAAAAAATTATCGACAAAAAATTATGGATGATATGATTATATTTGCTTTATCAACATATAATAATCAAACAAATAAGTATTTCTGGTCTCTGATTGCGAATTTAAAAAAAATAGGAATCCTTAGAGGATCAAGTTTGGCTAATATATAGGATTTTCGATAAAAAACGGCAAAAATAGAGGATTTATTATACATTGTTTCCGCTCAATTGTCTGGTTTTGTTAATCTCTCTGCTCGAAACTTTTTCTGCTGGAGCTAGCACGAACAGCTCGATCGTCATCAGGATTTTTATCTAATTTTTTTTCTACAGAAATAAATAGCTATTTCGAATATCATTAAAAGATTTGCTAAAAAGACTTTTCTCATAAATCAATAAGTAACAAAAAAAGTAGGTCATAAACTTCGAAAAACTGAACCAATGAAAAAACCGCAAATACTATTTTTCATATTATAAAGAGAACGGTTAGATAAGGTCGTAAATTCGCTACCCTTTACTTATCATTTTCAGCATAGCAGAAAAATAAAACTTTAAATTCTGCAAATTTCTGTATATTTTTCTTTTATTGAACACAAAAAACTTTTCAAAGACAACTGAATGTTGGGATCTATGAGTCATTTATAGATTGTCAGTATTTTAGATGATAATTATAATCTCTATAATTTTTTCCTCTTATCATTTGCGTTTGAAACCTAATGGCATAGATCGATACAGATTTTCACGCTCGACAAAATTACATATTACTCGTCTTTTTGAACATCTTTCTTCTCAAGTTATATGGAATTTATATTGGATGGAATCAACTCAAAAATACCGTTTACATGTACTATTCGTGAGTTTTTATATTTCTGTAAGACGTTATCGAACCCAAATGTGAAATTAGTGCTAAATATGGTTATAATAAAAAAAAACTACTCCATCTCATGCTCTACAGATCCATATCGTTTTCGCTAAAATCTATTCTCTACTAAGACTTTTTATCAAAAACTACCATTTCAATAAAAATAATTTTTTATCGAAAATTTGACGTGATCCCCTCAGTTAGAGTCCTATATCGATTGAAAAAACAATTTTCTGGAACTATTCATAGATTTACAGAAGGTTTCTTCGTTGTTAAAACTAATAGATTATTCAAATATGCATCTTGTAGAGAAATCTTATACTTTTAAGATCATGTATTTAGAAACATATAATAAATCATCATGTCGAAAAATATTTCTTTAAGAAACAACATTTCGATATTTTTCGGTTGCGGCAGGTTCCATGTTTAGGACTATTGCTTGTCAAAAACAAAATTCTTCAATATGAATGATTATTGAATGTTTCTAAGTACATGACCTCAAAGAGAAAACATTTCTCTACAAGATAAATACTTGAACAATGTATTAACGTTAAAAATGAAGAAACGAACTACAATTAATTGATCAATTCCCGAGAGTTATTTTGGAACCGATGCAGGGCTCTACCCATGTAGAAAAAAGTGAACCAAAATCACTTTTAAGTACTTTTAATATTAATAAAGTAAAATAAAGTAACTTTCCTTACTATTTTTCACTTTTTATAGTACTTTCTCATACTTTTTCCACTTTCAAAAGTACTTTCTCACATTTTTCTCACTTTACAAAGTACTTAATAGTACGTTTTAGTCGAAAAGTAGGAAAACTACTTAAAAAGGATCACTTATAAGTACCTTTGCCTGCTTAAAACAAACTTTTGAAAGTACTAAAAAGTTACGTTTTGGCTACATTTTTTTACATGGATACCACACACTAAATCCGTTGTTCAACGTCTAAAGATTATAGCAAAACATACAGCTTTCCGGTCATTTTCTAATTTTTTTGATAAAATATAGGTAAAATAGGAATTTTAATCGAAATATAGGGCAAAATAAAGGATTTTTCAAAAATATAGGTATTATAGGAAATATAGGACGAATCGGAGCCCAGTATATGCTTTATGTTGATCCACCGATAAATTAGAAGATTTGAATGCTCTTATTTCTGGCGAACCATTGGATGGAACAAATGATGTTGGTTTTGCTATTGTCGATGATCCATCTGATGCTATATCTAATGAAAATACTGAAGATGATAGTTGATTACGTTTTGCGGGTTTAGCTGATTTTGCATCCTCAATACACTTTTTTTTAACAAATTAATAAGATATTCTATATTTCCTTTTATTCCAGGTTGTATAATAAAGGGATCATCATCTTGCGTATAACCATATTTGTTTTTCAAGCCATCTAGACTCTTACTCTTCACCTCCATAACGGCATAAACATTATCGGTCATCAGCAACGACTTGATACAATTAATACCTTGTATTTCAAGTAGAGCAGCAGCTGCACAGCCAGCTTCATTCTTAGCAAATTCAATAAAGTCATCATCACGCAACGACATACCGTTTGAAGGTAATAATAAAGTATCCATAAGAATATTGAGTTGAAACATGTTTGTATATTAATTGTCTACAAATAAAATTAGCCACTATTTGCAATAAAACATTTTTCTACCAAATGATACATGCTCAAACAAGAAAATATAATAGATACCGTCTTAAAATCATGAGTCATGGTACAGGAATATAATCAGTAAATAGTTTCTGAAGTTGTCTCTCTCTGTATATATATGGTGATTGACATTTCGTGATCTTTAGCGACATTCCATCTTTTACTGTAATGTTTTTTCCAGGCTATATGTATATGATTCATTGCATTTATCTATCAGCTAAAAATTTTTTGAAACGTAAACCTTATTCTTCAAATTCATTACTAACTATGATTTCCAGTTCTTTTTCTTTTCTTTTTTTCTAGATAAAAAAAAAGCCGTTATTTTCTTATGGATAAGACATTGGTAGAAAATCCATTTTCTTTAAAAAATGATGATTTTTATGGTTTCAATCACGGATTAGTCGGGCAACAAATAGTGGATGTTTTGAAATTTCAATCAATACCATCAATCCAATCTCTAATTCGAAATCCGAATATCTTTGCGATCTTTGATATGAAATGTTCATACCCAGATTTCTTATCAATTAGAAAAAAGTCATGTTTCTAACTTGATGATGGTCAATTTATCGTAAAAGTTAAATTAATGAATAAATTAAATTATGCACTTGATTTTTTAAAACAGCAACAACAAAACAAACTAATGGAAAGCAGTTATACAGACGAATATTTCAGTTTGTCATTCGATTTTGCAGACAAACATTCGTTGTTAAAAAACTTAATTCTTTGGTATCAGCGAGTTGGCCATGATGATACTGCTAATAAAGATAAACATGGATTTTTGATTGATTTTATTGATACTATTACCAACAACTTGACAAAGTCCAGCAATCATTTTCGATATGGCGACAAAATCAAGAAGTTCGCTCTATCATTATATATTGTAGGTAGAAAATTAACTTAAGAATTTTTTCGATTAAATTTGCCACGATCTTTACCGAATTTAACTATGCTAAATACATACATTTCGAATTCAAATTTAAAAATTAGCGAAGCAGAATTTCGATTTGAACAGATTCCATATAGTACTCATATCTTATTTCGATCAAAGTTATTAGTACTTGAATAATAAGTTTGAGCTTTTCCATAATTATGTTATGGACTATTCACTAACACCTACACTCATACTCTCATATTTACTTGTTTAGTCTTCTCACAATAGTTCAAGTCATTAATTCTTTTTCTCTACTTGATTTTATGTGGCATTCTTTATGAATCCTAAATATTTATTTGTAAAGTTTAACTAAAAGATCATTTAACTGTTGATATTCGGAGTTCCCAACTATCCGATTAGAAAAAGTTCGAACAGTGACCGAAGACATCGTCAATATAACTTCTGCTGTTCTTTGATCGATAATATTATTTTCTATATAAATATTGAGAATAGGAATATTTCTTAAGAATGCTGCTGAAACCAATGCAAACATAGTTACTGTTGATGAAGAACCTATGACAATCACAGCTGTACTTTGTGTACCTTGCATAACCATATCAAATGCATAAAGTACTTCGGCAGCAGCAGTGATTGGTGTTGGATTTGTATTATAATCACGACCAATCATAAAATCATGAAAAGATTTAACCACTTCAAATGTCATGAAAACTGATTTGGAAACTATTGAAATAAAAAAA